CTGAAGGGACTGCAGCACCGCCCAAATTTCGACGGAATCAAAGGCTTTCTCATAGTCCACATACGCCAGGCAAAGTGGCAAATTGTACTCTTCAGTCTTCTGTACAATCTGCCGCAGGATATGTCCGTGGTCAATGGTACTGAAGCCTTTTTGGAAACTGGCTTGTTCGGAAAGCTGGAAGTCATCTTGTCTATGTGCCAGACGATTCGTAATGACTCTCGAGAACAGCTCGTAGACGCGGCTCAGAAGGGAAATCGGTCTGTAGTTCTTCAAGAGAGCGTTGTCGCCTTTCTTAAAGAACAAGACCACCGCACTTCTGCTCCACGCCTCTGGAGTAGTGCCACCATGTAGGACGGAATTGAAGAGCTTTTGAAGGACTTCAAGTACCGGTGTTCCACCCGCTTTCAGAAGCTCCGCTGTAATTCCATCCTCGCCTGGGGCCCTGCCGTTTTTAAGGTGTTGGAGAGCCATTCTAATCTCGCTTAGACTGACGTCCGGGATATCATCGGAATAGTGTCGGATAAGACTTGCTCTTGGATCGTTACTCACACTTGCGTGTGGCTCCAACGATGATGTGTACAGCTGCCCATAGAACCTCTCAATCTCACTCAGAATCTCAGGTGTCCCGGAAACAATGTTGCCACACTCAGTCTTAAGCTTTGACAGTTGACTCTTTCTGGCAGACAGATCTCTGGCAAAGACTTTGGAGCCCTGGTTCCGCTCGATTGCTTCTTTAATACGAGCAGTATTAAAGTTGCGTAAGTCTCGCCGCATGCATTTGGAGATCTGTCTATTCAGTTGCCTGTATGCTGTCAAATCTGTTGACGATTGCAGCCTCATCTCCCGTCTAACAGCCATGAGATTAAGAGTGTGATCGGAGAGTTTTTGTGTTCTTCTGCGGCGGGTCTTGCAGAACTTAGCTCCGACCGCATGGACAGTTTCCACGAGTTTGTCATTCACATCGTCCACTGCATTGCAATCTTGTAGGCACTGAAAGCGGTTGTGTAACTCGAGCTGAAAGTTTTCGGGATTTTGGATTAGAGCACGAGGGGGACGGAGCGTTGACTTCATTAGACGAGAACTCTCCAACTTAACGTTTAGGTTCAGTGTGCCTCTAACCATTCGGTGATCGCTGCCAGTTTTCACCCTTGCGATCACTGAGACATCACTGAACAGTTGGCGTCTGGTTGTCATAATGAAGTCAATCTCATTTTTTGTCGAACCGTCGGGGCTCGACCAGGTCCACTTCCTGTGGGGCCGCTTCTGGAAGAAAGAGTTCATCATAAAGAGTCCCTCTTTCTCCATAAAGTAGGCCAGCTGCTGGCCCCTTCGGTTCCGTTGCCCTACTCCAAATTTCCCTAACTTCAGCTCACCGTTTTCTCTTGTGCCTAGTTTTGCGTTGAAGTCTCCCATCAACACCGTGTAGTGGGTTTTGGAGGAATGCATGGCTTTGGAAATATCCTCATACATTTCCTCCACCTCCTCATCGGAATGTGCCGAGGTTGGTGCGTAAACCTGTATGACCTTCAGCGAATACCGTTTGGTGATTCTGAGTATCAGGTACGCGACCCTCGTCGACACACTCCCAATCTTTACAACGTTGTTGACGAGAGACTTGTGGACGATAAATCCGACACCTCCTTGGGACAGATGGTCGCCCTCCCGGTGATAGAACAAGTTGCCGGATTCGAGAATCGCCGTGTCCTCCCCCTCTCTTCGGACCTCGGATAATCCTATAATATTCCAGCGCAACTTGTCTATCTCTTCTTCCAGCTCCAGGATCTTCTCGTCAGTCCTCAGTGTGCGTGCGTTAAATGTTGCCAGGTCGAGTCGTCGTAGGTGGAAACCGAACCTCCCCCGGAGATTCTTAGCACCCCCTGCCCCGCCGTTACAATGTCGCCACCGTAGCCAGGAATAGCGGGGCCGCCGGGGACTGGGGGCCGTCTATTTGTGTAATTGTTCATGGGGGTATATTGCCATAGTTGCCACGCTTGGCGAGCGGGTTGGCAACCGCAGTTTTTTTTTTGTCGTACAGTTGCTGTTATCAGGAAGATGCTGCTGCCCATCTCCTGCCTGTTTCCCTTTGTCGCCTTTTACGACACCCACGGGAAGATATGGAGTAGTGGATATTCTTAACCGCCACTACACGGCACTACACGTATCAACAATAAAAAAGTAAAAATAAAAATATAACTATTAGTAAACTATAGTTGTTAAATACGAGAAAAATGTTGTCTACTTTGAGGTGGTATCAAAGCCACATAGAGCCAGGGACTGTTTTTGATTAAGCCACTTGCGGCATCTTTGTCGGAAGGTAGACGGAAATAGGGTAGATCGGACTGGTAGTGGCATATTGTTCCAAATTTTAGCAGCCGCAAATTTAAAACACCCCCTGGCTCCAGCGAGTCTAATCGTGGGTAGTGGAAGCCGATGACTATTTTCTCTGACTGAAAGCAAACTCTTTTTTTTATCTTATCATATAGATATCTTGAAGACTTTGCGTGATGCAGAGTGTGCAGAAAGCAGGCATATTTTAACTTAGTACTATTGTACATATTTAAAATGCCATTACTGACCAAATAAGGTGAAGTCTTATCCCACTCTGCTGCACTCTCCGTACATTCTTCACAGTTTCTTCCAAGTGTAATGGTGACACCCTTTAAGGGATTAAGTACCAGGCCATGTTTCAAAGACCACTCCGCAATAGAATCAAGATCTTTGTTTAACTTGGAAATAGCAACAGCAACCTCCTCATCAATTGGCGTTGTGTGAACATATACTTGGCTGTCATTTGCATATAAGTGAATTTTTGAGTGAGTTTAGTAACGTTGGCCGTGTAAATTGCGAATAATGTGAGACCAAGTATCGAACCCTGAATAACACCTTTATTAAGGGGGAGCGTGTTGGATATATTTAGAAAGTCCTTGGCTATCCAAACATTGCACTTTTTGGCAGCTATTATGGAAATAATAATGAAACCAGGTGTAGGCCGATTCTGTGAAACCATAGTATTTTAATTTTGCCAATAGGACAGATATATCAACACAATCGAAAGCGCGGCTTTCATTGGACGCAGCAAGAATATCATCAGTAATATTTAAAAGAGCTTATATTGAACTGTGATTCTTTCTAAAACCAGATTGAATCACAGGTAGTACTTGATTACGTTCTAGATATGGTGAAATTTGATAAAGAACGCATCTTTCAATTATTTTAGATATTGCAAGAAGAATGCTTATTGGTCTTATATCAGAAAGATTATCTACCATTGATTTTTTAGGAATGGGAGTGACTATGGCATATTTCCAAGATTCTGGAAATACTCCTTCCAATATAGCTTTACTGACTATCGCCACTATCGTTGACAAAGAGTATGGAAGCGTAAGTTTTAACATCAACATGGAGATGCCATTAGTTCCGGTCGCATTAGTAGATGTAGAAGCAATTATACATTTCACTAACGTTTCATTTACGGCTACAAATTGAAATTCAATTTCAGAGTGGTTAAGTGATTAGATTTCTTTAATAACACTTTTGTCGGGAGGTGTAGATGATATGGTGTTTCTTAAGTGATTATTAAGTAAATCAGGGCCAAGAAAATGGTTCGATATGGAACGGTTTTTTTACAGCAGGTGAAATTATTCGTTTTATGTGACGCCACATCTGAGAAGGATTTGACCTATTATTGCTGACAAACCTAGTAAATTATGCCTTCTTTTCTAGAGTAACTGCTCGGTTATATTAGTTGCGCAGATCGCGGTAAAATTGCATACTACTTTGCGACTTTATAGTTTTGGTCCGGTGATAAGCCTTGTCACGAATTGACTTAATTTTTCTAAGAGTATCAGTCATCCATGAGGCAGGGGTAGTTTAAAAGCGCTTTTACGAACAGGGGCGAATGAGTCCATCAAGTCAATGACGAGATTGTTAAAGGTATTTATCATATTATCAATATTATCTTGTGATAGTACCAGCTCCCATGGCGTGTATTTAGCAGCATTGTTTATAGCAATTGTGTTCTCAGATAAAGGACTGTATGAATTTTAACGACATTTAGATTTTTGAATCGCGAGCGGAAATTTTGCTGAAATCAATCCATGATCGCTAAAATCATCATTATGTGTCACCTCCACAGAAATGGGCTTAAGATATGTCCTAGTAAAGATAACATTAATCAGGGTACTCGTAGTAGAAGTGATCCGTGTAGGCTGATTCACGATTTAATGGAGATTAAATGTGAATGTGAGACAATTAGGCGTATATGGAAGGCCGTCGTTGTTTAGACGTAGAAATGTTCAGGTCACCAACGAGAAATAATTGTTCATATTGCGCTATAAAAAAAGGAGAGAGACACGTGCACACAGTCTATAGCTGAACCAACACTCAATGATTCAGGACGATACGCCGAACCAAATACAGCAGTCTCACTACCTATTTTAACATTAAACCAAATCTGTTCATGTTCCCCAGGGGGGTGATCTAAGCGCTTTGCACTTAAGTTAGATTTTATGTAAGCACCAACACCACCACCACAACCAATACGAGGGTTGCGCAGCAGTCTGCAGTCAGAAATTGAATATAAGTCAATATTAGAACGATAATGAAGCCAAGTCTCGCTAAGACATAATATATCCAGATCCTTAATTTGGATACTTTGATTAAGTTCCTCCAAACCGGTATTTAGCGAACGTACATTCAAAAAACCTAATGTAAAATACTTTCTTTGTTTTTCTTTACCCATAAAATAACATAAGCTTTTATCAAAGTAAACTTAAACCAAGTGAACACAAAAATAAAATAAATAAATGGAAGATATGACTAAACTAGGTTAACTAAGCAATCATTGTATTTGATGAGCACTGGAGGAGCACCTTCAACTTTCCGAGCGTACACATTTCCTCTCTTGACCCAAATAAACTTAAATTTTTCTCCTTGCCTACTCTTAATAATGCTTTACAACCAGGTGAAATATGTTCAGACATATATTTTATTGGTAGCACCCTCAATATTTAAGTGTTTCGAGTTTAGTTTGCAACTTTGAGTTTTATTAAACTTATTAACGGCTTCGAGGATACGATCACAAATACGCGGCGACGTCAGTGTCACTAATACGAAACGAGGCCTGCTCGAAGATTGATCCATCTTAGCTACACGGCGACAGGCACGAATGTCGCTGTCCGCAACTGGCGAGTTAATTGTGTTGCAAAAGTTTTGTCCAAACAGACTTTTCCTGTATGCCGTTAATTTCCAAGTTATTGTCTCTAGAGATTTTTTCAATGGTAGTCGAACATGGAGGGTATAAACTTCTTTTTTAAGTTTTAAAGTCTGAGTCTGTAATTCTTTAATTTCTTTGTCTTTTTGTTCTACCATTACTTTCAAATCCGCCTGTTCAGCAGCTAAAAAGTCAGTAGCTTGCAATGATTTCAAAAGGAAGGATAGGCCCTTCTAAACATTTTACTGATAACTTTTTCATACAAGAAAAAGTAGCGCATCTGTCATAATACAAACGTCATATCAAAACACAACGTACCCAGGGTCGGATTTCATAATATAATTATCCCAATTGTTCCATTATTTCATAGTTTGTAGTACATAGTATCGTAATACTACTAAGCGAAAATACTATTATTTTGCCTAAAAGTCGACTTGTATTATTCTTAAGAGTCTTTAAGAGTCTTTTTATATTTTAATATTATTACGAAATCGAGAATTTTCTGTATTGTACATGAGTACGGTGTATTTTTAATGAAATTAGAACTAGCTCCCTTTCTGGTCAATCGATGCTCGATCGATGCGTTTATGTTGCATTTTTGTCACAATAAGCAGATTCTTTATTATCAGAGGTTTCTTTTGTACTTTTTCGTTTTACCCTCATTGAATATAAAATATATTAGGTACCAATATTCAAAATTTAACTTACACTAAGTTCTTTAGACAAAAATTAAACAGAAATAAAAATAAAACCGTCAAAATACGAAACGTATAGATAAACTAGACACGTGACGCCAAAATCTCGGTACATTGGGAAAAAAGAATCATGAAACGTCAGACGTGATATAATTTTTTTTAAATAGTATATAGTATATAATATAATTTTATTTTCCAAGTACAATATTTTTGAGGGTCTGAATCCAACCCTGGCCTAATCTTGGTAACGTAAATAAAATAAAACTTGCGTTTATAATTTAATTGTAACAAAATTAATATAAGGTTATTTACCGATCATACGATATCCCATGTTTTTTTTTAAAATGTTTGTATAGTAATTTTTGCATTCTTTTACCATGCAACTAGACATATTTATGACAGACAAATCTGTCCTCGGTCGCCCCCTTCAGGTCACTCCATCAAGTCTGGTGGTAAGGTCTCATCATAACTAACAAAACGAACCCAAACTCGGCACACCTAGTTATACCAGTCTAGGAGTTCCAGTTGCAATCACCGATTTACACCTTTAGGTCACTCCATCAAATCCGGAGGTATGGACTCGTCATAACTAACAAAACGGAGCCCAAATTCGGCACACCTAGTTCTACTCGTTCAGGCATTCCAGCAGTAGTTACTGAATTACCCCTTCAGGTCACTCAATCAAGTCCGGTGGTAAGGTCTCGTCGTAACTAACAAAACGAACCCAAACTCGGCACACCTAGTTCTACCAGTCTAGGAGTTCCAGTTGCAATCACCGATTTACACCTTCAGGTCACTCCATCAAGTCCGGAGGTATGGACTCGTCATAACTAACAAAACGAAGCCCAAATTCGGCACACCTAGTTCTACTCGTTCAGAAATTCTAGCAGTAGTTACTGAATTACCCCTTCAGGTCACTCTATCAAGTCTGGTGGTAAGGTCTCATCATAACTAACAAAACGAACCCAAACTCGGCACACCTAGTCCTACAAGTCTAGAAGTTCCACTTGTAATCACCGAACTACACTTTCAGGTCACTCCATCAAGTCCGGTGGTAAGGTCTCATCATAACCTACAAAACGAACCCAAACTCGGCACACCTAGTTCTACCAGTCTAGGAGTTCCAGTTGCAATCACCGATTTACACCTTCAGGTCACTCCATCAAGTCCGGAGGTATGGACTCGTCATAACTAACAAAACGGAGCCCAAATTCGCCACCCCTAGTTTTACTCTGCAAGAAGTTCAAATAGCGGTCACGAAAGTACACCTTCAGGTCACGCCATCAAATCCGAAGGTAAGGTCTCATCATAACCAACAAAACGAGCCCAAACTCGGCACACCTAGTTCCGCTCGTCCAGGAGTTGCAGTAGTAGGTAAGTTTATATATTCTACTTATTTTTAGCTAAATAAAAAACTGTGAGTATAAAAATAATAATTTTATCACTTGTCAAGTACTTATGTTTCCAATTTGTTTTTTTCTAATATTTTGTGTATGTACAGCGATCTTTTCAGAATGAGCCGCTGCAAACAGGCGATACAGTGTCCACTCACGACGGCGGCCGAGCGCGGAACGTGGTTTCATCGAAGTCTTTGTACAATAAATTAAAGCAGGCACCAACAATAAAATAGCCCTTATTGCAATAGATTATGATTCATCCGTATTACCAAAATATGTGAAAAATGTGCATCAGTTTTTATTTTTTTTACGACTATTTGTGACATTTTGTTAAAAAATAAACCCAGGGTTTTTTAATTGAATATGTCTGTCATCTTATAGTATTTTTTAAAATTTTTAAATATGTTGATAATAGACCAAAACATGTACCGAAACACAAGCCGGTATCGTTAATTTTGTAGAAAATGGCAACGAAAGTTCGTTTTTACAATATAAAAAACTACTATTTTTAACAAAAGAGTTACAGATGTTTGCAGATGAAGAACCAATCTATACATGGTAGTTTTTACTTATATTTGATTTGGTTCAGTTTTGTCACAAAATGTACCGAAAAACACCCTAATTTTGGTTGATTTGAAAACGCGTCCTTAATGGGAAGCGAACAACCACTGCACTTGTTGTCGACGCAGAAGCATGCAATAATTAAGTAAAAAGTATGTGCTTACTTTTTACGACTCACAAATTAATTCACTATCACTAATAGACTATTTTAATGTAATTTTTTTCTGCTTTAACGATATAAATTAAAACATTAGACATTAGAGATTTACATCAAAAATATTAAATAATGACGGAGCAAAGTAATATTTTAAAACAAATTCAAAGTAATAAATAGTATATTATAGTGTTTCACAAGATACCCGCCTGAGATGAGGTTGAACCACCTGCATCTTTTTTAGATGATATATTACTTTCAAGTAACTATATTGAAAATGATGAATGATGATTATTAATCTTAATGCGTATTAATATTGTAATATAAATGATGATTTTTGCCATAGTTGCTACACTTGTGGCTAACAAAGTTTTTTGTGGTATTCTATAGGAAGAGGAAACGGGATGGCAATTCACGCAAGGCCTCTGTAATATTTTACATTATATATTTAATTTAGGATGCCTATGTTCGGTAGCGGACTGTTGTAATGATGATGAATAATGATCGCTAAAAACTGTAATTATTGTTGCTTCTTATTATTATAATAAATTGTAATTCTTATGTTATATGTGTAATTTATAAATAAACGCCGAGCAAAGTTGAATTTAATGCTCTGGCACCCTTTTTTATCTCTTTTAATTGACAATATCCTTCTGATTTCTAATAATATCATAAACTGGCAAGAAATTATATTTTAATGATGTATGAGATCTTGCTAATAGATGAATACTTTAATGAACAAAAGGCCCGCACTGTACCTGTCTGCTGTGTTATTTTTCAGAGAGGACTTATAAAACGCTGATGATTTTTGCAATAATAAACGCAGTGATTACACATGATGTTTAGGACTTATTACATATCAATATCATATCATAAAGACATGTTACCATCAAGTTATTTTGAAAAATCTTTTGATATGATCTTTTGATACGAAAACACGAAAATGTTTCTACGTGTGTCCATTATGAAACCATCCAACCGATTTTGATGAAACGTTTATGTGTGTTTGAATGGATTTTTAGATGATTCATATTCACATATGGACTCGGTAGGTGGACCCGGCTGCTGTCTAAATCCAGAAATCACCTGTGCGAAGTCGGGGCGGATCGCTAGTAATAAATAAAATTAAATTTTACCCGTGTTTTTGTTATCCTGGCACAAACAGTTCAAAACATCTTACTTCCTCACTATTTATATCAGCGTGTAATAACAGATAAGCATGATATTACCTAGTCATTTTGGTATTTTAGAACCCACTCATTTTATGATGTAGAATTATCCATAACCAAATCTAAGAAATACATTTTGACAGCTGTCAGACTTATTGCACTAAGCATGGCAACCAAAAATGGGAACGTACAATATTCGATTCTTAAAAAAGTCGATATCGATTATTTAGAGTCGGTAATAATTTACAGTTTGGTTTAAAATTTAAATAATACCAGAATAAAAAAACAGATAAAAAACAGATAATTCAAAACACATGATTTATCAGTTTCTTCGTATTTGTTGTTACTGCTTATTTCTAGAGGCACAATTATAAAAATTTAACATTGAAGCTAGATTAAAAGTAAATTTATTCAATCATTTCGAGTAAAACTAGTTGAGCTGTCGTTGTTTAGATTAATTAATATTTGATTTTCAATAATGCAGTCAAAATTAATGTCTCTTTCAAAGTTATCCATAATCAATTTTTTTGTTTTTCCTACCACTTTTGCCTAATTATGCTTTGTGACATGGGCACATGCTTCAACGAATATAGAAGAAACAGTCCAAAAAGTTAAAACCGCGCCACAAAACAAGAAAACAAACACAAAATTACGCAAAGATAACTCACGAAATGGCAAGAGATTAGTGGTTTTTTCAATGTGGCCTTGTTTATGAGATTTTTTGCCTACACAAATTTACGTTGATAAAGTAAAAAAATACATAAATTTACGTTGACAAAGTAAAAAAAATAAACTTGTTTTATTCAAGATTCATGTAATTTAAGGAATTTTAAAAATAAAAATTTAATTAAACAAATAATACATTAAAAAAATTTATTTATTTATTTATTTATTTATTTATTTGCTTTTTCAGGGAAACATACAGTACAATAAAAAAATACATTATAAAACATATAAAAGTAATCCTAAAACCAATGAAGTTTCCACAGATATCTAAAACATATTAAAAGCTTGCAACCACAATATGTTTAAAGATTGAAAAAAAAAAATACCTAAATGGATTTATAATTAAACATTAAGTTCTAAGCATAAAATAAAAGTAATACAATACACACGACCTATAGTGAAGCTACCAATTATAAATTAAGTTTTACAATATTTTTTTTATAACTATTGTATTTA